TTCTGCCAGTCATTATATTTCCTTCCATTTATCCAGTGCCCTAGGCGTACTGAGAAATGGCTTCCCTTTGAAGGTTTTTTGTTTTTTTGTTTTTTGTTTGTGGGTTGTGGGACTTGGACTCTGGACTTGGGCGCTGTCCCTCAGCTCTTCAAGGTGAACACTCTATCATTTGAGTCACAGCACCACTTCCAGTTTTCTGATGGTTAATTGGAGATAAGAGTCTCATAGACTTTTCTGCCATGGCTGGCTTTGAACCGTGATCCTCACTCCTGACTTAGGATTACAGGTGTGAGCCACTGTTGCCTGGCCCTGTGAAGGTTTTAACTATTTGACAGTAGGGGGGGGAAAAAGAACACTCTTAAAGGCGAAAGAGTGTGCCCTACAGGCTGGCACTGTTATTTTCCTCCAACCTGCCCAAGGTCAGTGGTGATTTAGGAGCCACCGAAGTGGTCTGGAAGTTTGCCAGTCTTTCACACAGTCCCTTAAGTATCTTCACTCATCAAAGCTTTTTGGCATATATTGTTCGCAAACAACCTGGAAGGCAGGTAAAAAAATATTATCACCAGTTTGCCAGTTGTGATGCTAAGTCACAGAGGACTTGTGTGAGTCTCTGCGGTCACCCAGAGAGTTCGTGTCAGCCTGGACAGCAGGATCCTGGCTCTGTGAGCTCTCAGAATGAATGATGTGTCCCATCCTTCAAACTGATTCTCCAACTCCATGTCTGGAAATGAGAGCATCTTTGCACTTTCCATGAATGTCCTACTTTCTCTAATTACCTGCCTATCAGTGTCCAAATGAGTTCCAAACATAAAACCTCACTTTTTCATCTGACCATCTCTCATAGATGGCAATATAATGAATTGCTTGCTTGTCATATTATGTCTCTGCTGTTTGGACCTCAAAATTATACGAACCCTAAACTAAGGGTACATTTTAAATTTCTAACATTATTATTATGGTGGTGATGTATTATGGAGGGTTACAGTTACTTAGCTCAGGTAGATAGTAGATTGTCAGCCTTTCCTTCGCTGTCTCCAAGCTTTTCCCTCCCATGGGTACTTTTTTAAAAATCAAATGAAGAAGAACATGAAGCATAAATGAACCTAAGAGGTATACTTCGTTGGGACATGAGGAAATCTTTCCAAGTATTTTATTCTGTGTGCTCCAAGCTTTCAAGCCTTTTGTCCTTAAACAAGTTTCTTTATATTGGGAATATGGTGATGTTTGTCATGGTTATGACTTTTAGAGAAAGGAGGAGGTGAACTCTGCATGTTAATAGTGAAATCTTCCAGAGAGGAAAAATCATTTGGTTCCCCAGACTGGGACTTTCACTCTCCCTAGGGTACAAAAGCCTAAAGGACATGTTCCCCACTTCTCATGAGATATGTGAAATACCAAAGATCCAGCTTTACACTGGAGGCATGAAAAGTTTTCAGTCTTACTTGTTAACCTAAGCATTCACCAATGTTGCTTTTTATGGCGGCTTTCTAGCCTAGACAGGCTAGAAGCTAGCTTGGAACTAACCTCACAAGGCCAGTTATGCTCTCTCCAAGACAAGCAGTGGTTACTCACTGATAAAGGGGTGGTCACTGATAAAGTTCAAGTCGTTTTTCACAACACACTCAAATCTATCTTTCCAGCCTATGTTCTACACGATCCTCTGTATTTTAACATACATCAAGTATTTCTCCCTCCTCACAATCACTCATTCCTGCTTGTCACTTCGTCCAACCTAGAACATGCTGCCTCTTCTCTATCAATCCAATTCTGGTTCAGTATCAAAAACTTACTTTGCTCTTACTTATAAGTAATAAGGTGCATAATGCAAGTTGTTCATGATTGATGCTCAGTAAACCCAGCCAAGTAGATAAGCAAATAAATCTCAGGAGTCCACACCATAGTCTTACGAGGAAGGAAGGTCCAGTGGAGTCTCCTTAGCACATCTAACCAACATCAGAAAAACTGTGGCTCCCAAAGCAAAGTGCTTTTTGCAGTTTGCTCATTGTACTTGTCTATGTTTATTCTGAATTTACTTAAGTGCCAGTGGCTCATGTCTGTAATCTTAGCCACTCAGGCTGAGATCTAAAGATCAAGGTTCAAAACCAGCCCTAGCAGAAATTCATGAAAATGTAATCTTCAATTAACCACCAAAAAGCTAGAAGTGCAACTATAGGCCCAAATGATAGAGCCCCAGACTTGAGCAAAAAAGCTGAGGGACACTCCCAAGCCGTGAGTTCAAGCCCCAGTACCAGCACACACACAAAATAATTGTTTTTTCCCTAGAAGATTGGGTCATTCTTACAAGGTTGTGTACTTTAGGAATAGTTAAGGAAAACAAAAGCCAAGTAAATAGTCAAGATTCCAAACAGAGGGCAGAATGCTTGTCCTATAAAGAGAGATTGCCAGCTCGACCTTAAGTCCTAGAGCACAGCCAGGGCAGCAATCTTAGTGACCAACTGTACTTGTCCCTCCTCTCACGGCCTCCCTGGCTAAATAGATTCCTGTGAAGTGTGACTGGCGATCTGACCTAATAAAAGCCGAGGAGCAGGGTCACCGGGGTCACTGAAGCATGAGTCTGCGTTTCCCAAGTTGATGTAACAGAATCTGCACCTCTCATGCCGGTGGTTGGGTCAGGAGGCTATCTGGTAGCCAAGGGCAATGCTGGGGCTTTAGAAAAACAGCTCAAGGCTGTAACCCAACACCATTCCAGGACATTTCACCAGTTAATCATCGCAGCCATCCATCTTTTATTCATAAACACAGGAACAGGTTTTCTTTGGCTGTTTCTTAGGCTACTCCAAATGCATAGTTCTTATAAATCATCCCTTCCTTTTTATTTAAGAGTTTTAGGACCTGATTAAGCATGAATAGTTGACAGGCTTGAGCTGATCAATTATGAAGTGACTGGCCTGACTCAACCATGTTCAGGCAGTCCCCATCTATTATCAAAGATCCATTGTGTTTCTTTCCCTGAAAATGTACCTGGCATAAAGCATCATGTCACCGTGGCTCTCAGTATGAGCCCTAGACAGGGAGGGTGGCTCTCAAAGCCAGCCTCTCAAGTCACTTAAGGGTAAGGCTTTGAAGTAGTTCTTCAAACCCTATTTAGAGTGCAAATCCACAGAGATGGGAGACAGACATACCATATGAGGCAGGCATAAACCTTACTACCAAACACACTATCTTTATCTCAATTACTCGTTCTATTTCAGCCTTGAAAGAGATTAAAATTAGTAAGATTGTGTGCTTTATTTTTTAAGTGTTAAAGAAAATTCAACAGGATATTCTTAACCATAGCAAATGCACCACAAACTCACCCTCAAGGGGAACCCCATCACACATTGAATCCACCTGGCCTCCACAAATAGCTTCACTCAACAGGCTTTTCCCTACTCCTTCTTGGCCTACTTGAACACGCACAGAGGCAAAGCAGTCACCAGAAATGCGTACATATTACCTCTGGGAAAAGACTGTGTTGTACTCATTATTCGCCATGGGCTCTAACTCCTTGACATCTATCTTAGAGGAAAGCATAAGGTAACAAAGGCTACAAAGAGGAACATTTGGTTACTTAGGCTACCTAGGCTTAAGGAATCTACCTGTCTGTAAAGTGTTCATAACAATGAATATTATTCACATCATTAGTATGAAAACTAAATTATTATTCCCTATTATTTGCTCTCTCTTGTATTTTTAGCTATGATCCATTGAGGTTTCATTTGGGGGTAGGACATGGGTCCTTAGGTAACATTATCTTATTTCATTTGTAATAAGGAAAAAATATATTACATTTATTTTAATGTCTAAGTATCTAGAGCAGAGACTTTCAACATTTGGTCTGCACTTAACCCGGGGTTTTCTAAGACTCCTCTAGGGAGACCTTGTGGTCAAAACTCTGTTCATATCCACGCTAAGATTTCTTCTTATTCTCATTCTCTCATAAGTATATAGAAATCCCTCCTCATTCACCATCTCATTAGGCTTGTTAGTTACCTATAGGCAACTATAGCCCAAAAATATTGAAAAGAAAATTCCAAAAATAAGCAATTCATAAGGTCTTGATTGCATGCCATTGTAAATACTATGATGAAACTCTGAGCCATTTCACTCTGTCTAGTCTTGGATACGAATGGTCCCTTTGTCCAACATATCCACACTATATAAACTACTCACTCTTTAGTCACCTAGCAGGTGACTCCATTATTACATTGACTGTCTTGGTACAGCACAGCTTGTTTTGAAATCACCTGTATTTTATTATTTTATTTAGGGATAGCCCACCCAGCATAGGCACAGTGGTGCTAGAAGTTTGGATTTGCTGCATGGAAGTTGTATAGTGCTTCCTTTAAGAAAAAGATGAAAGTTCTTAAGAAAATGTAGGCTAAGTTGCAAAGAAGTACAATAAGAATGAATCTTTTCTACCATGAAGTCATGAAGAAGTAAAATAATTCATGCTAGTTTTGCTGTTGCACTTCAAAAGGCAAAAGTGTCAGCCACAGTGCATGCTAAGTAGTTAGTGAAGCTGGAAAAGGCATTGTTGTATATGGTTCCAGACTATTGTGGTTTCAAGAATCCACTGGCTGTTGTGGAATGTATCTTTCACTGATAAGGGGGCAGAGGGTCATGCTACAGTACAAAGGAATTTTCCAGAGGCTGGAAGCTATGTGGTGATGTCATCCCTTATTCCTTAAAGGAATGTGTGCTTACACCTTCTTGTGGTTTCTATATTCCGCTATTATTATCGTAAGTATAGTTAAAAAATAGCAATTAATATGACCCAGATAAACATCTCTTTGAGATACTCAATGATTTTTAAGTGCTGAAAAGAATCCTGGGACCAGAAAGTTTGAGAATGTCTGCTAAACATTGCAAGTGACACCCGCCCCCCCCCCCCCATTCCAGAATCTGTACACTAAAAAGAGAAAACTTATCTCTTCACTTGGGAGATTCTGCCCCCAACGCCAGGCCTCTGAGGCTACTGTGCTTATCCTGTGTTTCAGGCTCTCAGGCGACGACGACTGGCTGTGGAACTATGACAAACATGGCCACCGGCACTCCATGATGAGGAGAGTCAAGAGGTTCCTGAGCACCCATGAACACCCCACCAGCCCCCGCAGGAGAAGCTTCGGAAGGCAGGCCAGCGACAGCTCCGTGTTCTTCCCCCTCAGCCCAGCTCGGGATCTGCTGAACGTGCCCTCCAGAAGCCCCCAGAGAGCCTCCCTGGCCCGCAAGCAATCCCACTCCCTGCAGGGCAGCCCCAAGCATTCCAGCATGGGGGAACTGTCCACCATCAGGGAGACCAGCAGGACAAGCACGCTCCAGAGCCTGACCCCACAGTCCAGTAAGAGGGCCTCCCCCACCAAAATGCCACAGGTGCCCGAGGTCTTGATCACAGCAGCTGAAGCATCGATGTCCCCAACAGATGACCACGACTCCACGACCTCCATCTTAAGCTTTGAGTTTACTGGGGTTCAGCCAAGCAGCACTGGGCAGCAGGAAAACCCCTTGGGATCAGTCCTGTCCCTCTCAGAGAAGACACTTTCCAGGGCCCCAAGTCATCAGACTATTCCAGCCAGTAATGAGATAGACATGTTCAAGTTTGAGGAAGCCCTGGAGGATGACAGGTTCCCAAAACGGTGGAGCCTTCCAGCGTTTGGGGAGTCTAGACATGCTTCTCTAGGAAACCTGAGTCCAGACCCTGTGACTCCAGGTCTTTTAATCCACACCGAAACAGCCTCAGAGACCAACGGAATCAACCCTGGGGCTGCCGCTGCAGTCTCTCCTGATGTGCTGTATTTAATAGAAAACCTGGATACCAAGGAAACAGATATCCTAGAATTTAACAACGAGCAAACTGAGGAATCACCCAAAGGAATGCCACAAAGCCCTAGGACCCGGTTCTAGCCCAGAGCCAGGCTTTTCCAAAACTCAGCATCAGTCCACACAAACCCTGTGAGCTGATCAGTCTGTTTAAAAAGAAAAAGAAATGATCACACTGTCCAAGCTCCTTAGAACTCTGAAGGGCATTATGATCCTGTTTTTCTGAAAACTGCAAAAATCAAACACATTCATGTCATTCATCCATCACAAAGTGGCTTTCATGAAAGTTTTTCAGCCCACCGTGAATTATCTAAACCAAATCAGAATCTTATGTAGATCTATATGACTTACAAACTAATAGACTTATAAACTCAAAGCTTTGGAAAGGGCCTTGTAAATCAATCCCATAGACTGACAAAGGCCTAGACCCAGCGGTTCTCTCTTTCTAGATGTTTATTTTTCTCCTGTCTAGGAGAGGATCACAGAATGCCCCCAAAGCCCTTTTCTACTCAAACTTCTTCAATTGAGGATTTCCTCCTTCCTAAAACTATCATTGCTCCCTAATTCTTAAGCTTCATTAGTTACTATTTATTAGTTGTTTCTCTTCAATATCCTCTATGGTCACTTCTTTATTTTTTTTCTTCCTCTCTATTCTCTTATCCATTGTTTCCTTTTCTTTTTTGTGCCTTCTCTGGTGACTCTAATTTGTCCCACTCTTTGGGTTATAATATTTTCTCTTACCAACTCTTGCTTACCTCTTGCTAGGGTGATCAAAATATGAGGCCAAGACAAAGATGTCAACAAATCATCCACTCTCTCTCAATCTCACAATAGAAAGTGTGTGGGAATGTATTCATCACTCTCTTAAAGTCACTGCTGTTTCTGTCTGCTTCTGCTCGTTAGCCTTGGACATTGGAGAAAACAGGCACCAAAAGGTCATAGAACCTGAATAACCAGATACTATGGAACCAAACAATAATATGGCTTATAGCCATCAAATTCAAATCCTAAAGCACAAGTCTCATTGGTGCCACACATGGGACCAGTTACATGGCCTACCAGATCGTTGGAAAGGAAATAGGATATTGGAGCTGGACAGATAAACCATGACTCTGATGGAGTGTGGGTGTTGCCTTACTCCCTTCAGAAACTCATCAGAAGCTCTGTATTGTGGCCTCTGAACTCTCTAACCTTGCTGCATGAATCCTGCTCAGCTTGACTACATACAACTTCAGAAATAAAGTAATCCTAACAGCTGACATATTCAGTGTTCACATGTTTCAGGCATCAGCATGTAAAGTTCGTAGATGACCTCATTAATCATCACAGACTGATATACTATTGTCTCCATTTTAATATGAAGAAAACAGAGGCATTGGAGAATTTGACGTTTGCCCAAAATCACATAACCAGGTCATCCAGCTCAGGTTTCCACACTCAGCCACCGTTTTTTTCTCACAGCTCTGTGCTTTCTGTAAGGCCCGGACTCTCCACAGTTCACCCAGAACTCTGGAGCATGTGCTAAGGAAACCAGACCCAAGTCACAGTTTTGTGCTTAATCCCTCTAGCCTTGGAGGCCTCTCAGGGTCCTTTCTGTACTCATAGAGAAGAGGAGTACTCCAACTTTGAGGTCTAGCTATGGTCCTCTTCATTTTTTTTGTGCCAGAACAAGTTGACATGATCCTATCTCTCCCCACTCCTCCTGTAGTATTGTAATTAGTACACTTGCACAAGCCCTCAAATCTTGACCGGCCTCCTGGGCTCCAGGAGAACACTGACATTTACTTCAACTGACTTTTCTCAAAGGACTTAAAGGAAATACTATTGGAAGAAATCTATACACTGATGGTTCTCTGTGTTAGTCAATGGTGTTAGCACTTGGTGCAGTTTTAGCTTCTTGGTGCAATTTTCTTGAGTGATTCAACTTAAGTCCAGTCTCTTCTCTTTGTCTCGATCTACTGCTCAGAATCAAATACGTTTCCACTTCACTGCTTTTGAAATATAATCAATTTTCATTCCCAAATCCAAGGTGATAAATTATACACAAGGAGAATAATACCTTTTGTAAAGGGATGGAGACTGTTCATTTGTCTCTGGCTTCCATCCATCCCTTATGCACCTTTATCCAGAGAATTTCTTCAATATTTCTTTAAAATTTGAGCTGGCATCCTATTCCTCTTTGCTCTGAAGACTGAATTATGACTTGTGCAATGAGCTCATCTGCTGGAAGTCAGCTATAAATTCAAGACAGCAGTTGTGCAGCATGGATGAAGAAATTTTCCATTCTGAAATGAGTTTTGAACCCAGCATAGGCAAGGCTGCAAAAACAAAAGGCTTTCTTCTCATGTGCTTGGGTTTTATTATCTACCTGACCATTTTCTCCTGAGCTCTGGAGCCTTCCACCATCTGAATGAGTTGTCCTATGGCCTGTGCTTGTTGCTTGGGGCTTGACCCATTCCAAGAACTCAGCTATGTTTGGCATTAAATGTAATGTGCAAGCCAGCGCATAGAGTGAGGCCAGGCCCTAGATGTTGCATTCCTTTCCTGCTCTCCAGACAACTCTGCCCTGACACTGGAGCCCTAGTTCTGTAAAGGCTCATCTTTTGTCCAAGAACAGAGAGATGCTAGGCCCTGACAAAACAAGTGGCCACTCTCTCCCTGTCTTCTGCTGTCCCATATCATATCCTCTGGTATTCTCACTCTCAGCTTATCAACTCCAATCACCCATTCTTACCTAGCCTTGAAAACAAGACTATAGAAAACATATTGTAAGTGTAAAATTTAACACTAATGCAAAGAAAAGACTCCCGTAAACATACAACCCTATTTCTTCAGTGATTCCTCTTCTAGCTTCTCCTCCAAAGAGGTCGATTCAATCCTCAGTCATTGCTCTAGCAAAACTGCTGAGGATGTGCTAGGCTCAGGCAGCCAAGGGTTGTAATGGAATGAATAGTACACAGCAAGCATGTGAGTTACCTCTGAGTAGCTTTAGAAACTTGAACAACTATTCATCCTTCGGAATCTCATAGTTCCATCTCTGTCACAGGCTCTCTTCTGGATCATTTCACTGGGCCATTGTGAGGTATGCTGGGAGTTGAAAGGCCAGAACCCCAGGCTACACCACAGGAACAGTAGACCTGACTGGAGTTCATGCTCCAGGGATTCATCATGGACATCTCATTCCCTCCTTGTAATTTGTTCTTCAGGATCCTTTTATTCTCTGGTGTTCTAATCTCTTCCATTCACCAAGCTTTCCTTTAACATTCACAATATTACGTTTCTAATTTATCATTTTACCATTCTCTTTTGGGCTTCCTTGTTTTTGTTTGAGATGCTTCTTGTCTTTCTTCTCTCTGGCACTTCTCACTCCCACAGCATCCCAGGCCTCATCTCCGTGGAGATGAATCCTTACCTTCTATGTGTATCAGTCCCCTCGGAGAAAACATGGAACCAAAGAAAGTTGTGCTTCTTCCTTCCATTATACATCTACATGATTCAGAGCCCTGGCTTCAAGGTTAGAAGAGCATCTAAACCTGGTCCCATATCACCTAATAAAAAGTCATATCTGCAACTGCTAGACCCTTAAGTGGAACAAATTCAAATCTAATTCCATCTGCCCTTCCCACAGCACAATCAACTACATAGGCAACAACAAACATTTTCTGATGCTCTGTGCTATGGATAAAAATAACCAAAAACATTCTTGTTTTGTTTGATGGAACTATCTCACGCAGGTGCTCCATCCCTTTACATGTTTTTTTTTTAATTAGTAAGTTTTTTGTGTGTGAATTTTTTTTGTGTGTGAAAATACCGTACAGAGGGGTTACAATTACATGGGCAAGATAACGAGTACATTTCTTATCAAGCATTGTTGCTTCCTCCTTTGTTTCCCCTGCCCACCCCTGCCCTCCCATCTCCCCCCATCCTGACCCCCTTTACATGCTTTTTGTTGTTGTTTTTTCCTTTAGTTCTATGAACCTTCATTTTTAGGACAGACTTTTCCACTTTATATGAAAGAACCAATGCAAAAATAAGCCAGATGCTGACGGCTCATGCCATAATCCTAGCTACCAGGGAGGCTCAAGCAGGAAGATGAAAGTCAAGGAGAATCCATCTGGATGGAGGAAAGCTAAACACAGTAGTGCAGACCTGTCATCCCATCGATAATAGGAAGCCTAAAATAGAACTAAAGGCACCCTGGAAGGAAGCAAGAACCTATCTCAGAAATGGGAAAAAAAATCATAAAGCCAGGTGCTGGTGGCTCAAGCCTGTAATCCTAGATACTCAGGAGATCTGAGGATCATGGTTCAAAGCCAGCCAGGAAAAAAATCCCTGTGAGATTCCTATCTCCAATTAACCATTCAAAAACAAAGAGGTGCTGTGGCTAAAGTGGTAGATCAATAGCTTTGCACACAAACAGGCTCAGGGAAAGCCCCAGACCCTTAGTTCAAGTCCCACAACAATAACAACAACAACAAACTAGAGCTGAGGGGCTGGGAGCAGGTGGCTCATGCCTGTAATCCTAGCTACTCAGGAGGCTGAGGTCTGAGGATCAAGGTTCAAAGCTAGCCCACACAGGAAAAGCCTATGAGACTCTTACCTCTAATTAACCACCAGAAAACCAGAAGTAGAGCTATGGGTCAAAGTGGTAGAGTGCTAACCTTGAGCAAAAGAGCTCAGGGACAGTGCCTAGGCCCTGAGTTCAAGCTCCACAACCAACAGACAAAGAAAAAATGGAGCTATAGGTATGGCTCAGTGGTAGAGCACCTGCGTAGCAAGTGAGAAGAGTAGAGTTCAAATCCTCGTAACCTCCTGCCCCTCTCCCCCAAAAAACACCAACAACAGAGTAGCAAGATGGTTCTCTTACTGCAAATCTTACAAAACTCAGAAGAAGGAACCCAAGATATGGGAAAGGCTTGAGAGACTGGACCCCAACATTGTCCTCTCCCTTCAACACTTCCACATGTACGGTCATACAAATATATTTAAAAAAAAAAAAAGCAATCATCCCCAAACTGAGGACCTGAATACATTTGCTCAAATATTCAGTTGACTCAGACCAAAAATCATTTTTCTTTTACTTGTTTTGTTTCTGAAATA